ACATTTTAGATTTTTTTTCCCCCCTTCTACAATACCCCCTGTGATGCAAAACCTTGGCTTGAACACACCATCCCAGCACAGGACACACTCCAACATTTGAATTCAATAAGCAACCTGGCCACAGTCGGTGCGTCTCCAGTCATCTTCTCCACAGTATAATAGAGGCTGCATTCCAGTTATGAAGTATAGATGTGGTACCAAAGGAGTTGATGCAGTGCTTTCTCTCATTCCCTCAGTTCATATATTTTACTCATCTGTGCCATAAATTAAAGATTTATATTTATGAGGCCTGGTGCTGGGTGTAGCCAAGTTCCCTAACAGGACAATGTAGAATAATAACCTTAAGGAAATTAGTGAATAAAAACTATAGCAGGTGTCCTCTAGGCCTGCTTGTACCTTACTCTAATGTTTTTCATTAGTTTATCTTTAAAGAAAGTCAAGTGGGCATTTAAGGGGTCTAGTGGGGATTTTTCAGCCTCTGCTGCTCTTCTGTCCTCTGTGACTCCCCCAGCTTGATGGAAATGTAGTACTAAACCACAGGAGTGCTCCTTTAATTTGAAGTTTGGTTGTTTTCGAGCTTACTTTCTATTTGCTTATAGTTTCAAAGGATTGTGCATACTGTGTCAAAGTGTGAAGTAAATGTTATTGTGCACAGTTTTACTACTACTTCTCACTAACTCTTATAGTTGAGGACTATAGTGAAACAAAATAGGTGTTAAAGAGCCTAAATTCTCTTAGTGGTGTTAGGGAATGAACAGTACATGTGCTTTAACCATATCCAAAGAGAGAGAGAGGCATATAGAAATGTTAACAGGTGCCTCCCTGTGGGTAGGAGACAATAGCACCATGCAGATCTATAAAGTTAAAAATGTCATTTCCTTGATAATTATTTGCACTAGTCATGATCTGTATACAAAGCCAATATGGAAAAAAATATTGGATGCAAGCCACTCATTTATCTTTTAATATATACAGTATAGGTCGTTTTCAGCTTAGATCTAGATCTGGTCAGCCATTTTGAATGTTATCAATCCATTAAATGGTCATTATTAATTTTTCTTACACCCCTAATTATGCTTCAGAAGGGGCAAACTGTACCTACCAGTAAACCAGAAGATGTATATCATTTATACATGTTATACAAATATAGAGAGGCAGTTGGGCTGGATGGGTGGGACAACAGATCAGCTATGTTACCGTTTCAAAGTGATAGTCAATATTGTTATTTTAGTAAGTACTTATTTTAACCCAACCATGATCTTTATCTAAACCTAAGTACTTTTTGTTGCCTAAACAGGATACATTGTGTTTGTTATTGTAACCATGGCGATGAAGGTCTGGCGCATGACAACGGCCTACTGAGATACGTAGGAGGTGGAGAAGGGCTGTACTAACTCACATCTATGCCAAACTTGTAACGGCCCTCTAATGGGGTGATAACATTCAAAGAGGGTGCCATATAATTGTGTTCAGCAAAAAGCTCAGCCTCCACCTTCAGTTCATACATAATGATATAACCATAGCAACCAAGAACCCTTGAAAAAGAGCTGGAAGAAAACTTAGACATTACTGTCAAAACCCTTTTTTTCCCAAATGAAAAATAAAACATGATTATTTTACCTTGAATCATCAGTATAGGACTCAGCTGACAGTTCTGCCACATTTGTTACTGTTGATGCATTAACATTTCAGTTATTTTGCTCACCTTTCACTGGCAGCATCATACAATGCTAATGAGAAAAACAGAAATATACCATATATTCAGAATGATTTCTGGTTCCTCTGATGAACTGAGTGCCAGTTTATGTAGTCATCAATAGGATTAATGTTCTGCGAGAACATACTGAGTGACGTGTTGTGGCCCCAGAGTATGAAAACCTTCAAAAACACTGAGAAAGTGCCAACCCTGAGACTTGCCCTAACCTTGCCTTGAGCCATGTGTTGATGAGTCTTCAGTGTGACTGAAACTTCAAAGGCATTTCAGCTTACTAAGCAGACGCTGCTCCTTCTCTCTCATCTTCACACGACTGAATCCTTCTGCAAGAAGGACACGTTGAAGGTTTGAAAAATGAAAGGTTTGCTTGGCACTTTCTTGGAGCAGCTCTGACCACTGTGGCTTGGGAGTCACATTAACTGCTGGTAACATTAAAGTCCAGTTACTTTGAGCCCTAAATTATAAGAACATGACAAACATTGAACCAGAATGAAAGAAGCTTGTAGTTCATATTTTCCTGTGTGCTTCTTTCACAGAATAGTAAATAGATTTGAGACTATATGTTATCATCCTGCACTTTTCACCAGTTCAGGGAGCAAGGTAAAATCAACATCACATCAGAGGTCTCTAATTAATTCATTGTTTTGCCTATTTGAGAATTTCTACATCTCAGCACCATCATACACAACCAGTAATTGTGAGGGCATTGTGAAGCGAATAAATAGCAAGTTCCTTACTCAGTTTGCCTGTTGTGTTCGCCTACAAACGGAGGCAGGAAGAATGAGGTCTTTTCAAAAGCTGCCTGCAAAAACCTCATGGATGTACAAATTAACACACAGAGAAGAGAAGTTGCCATCCAAAGCCTCCAATGTTATAATTATAGCTCTTTCTTCCTCCTTGACAAACATAAAGGGGGATTTTTTTTCACTCCCTGCTCACATCCTCTATCCCCCTCTCTTCTCTGCTTCTCACTGCACAGCTTGGCGAGCAGGCATTAATTGCTCCAAAAAGCTGTGGAAGCACAAGTAATACTCATCCTGGTATAGTTGTGTCTGTATGAGCTGGAGAGCTTGAGAAGAAAGAGGGCTTATCTGCATACAGGAAAGGATTTGTGGAGCTGAGGACATTTGAAAAAACATGATATGGTGGCGCACTCTGGTGGTCAGGAAGTGAAAATAAATGTATACAGAGATTATGAACAAAAACATAAACCTGCAAATAAAACCATGGCATTTGCTTTTGATATATGTCAAGTTAAGTTATTTATATATTACATTTAAAAACAGGAAATGTTGACCAAAGTGCTTTAAAAACAAAAGAGATCACTAAACAACTTGACAATTAGAAACCAAATAAAACACATGGAAAATACTATAAAACAAAACATAAAAGAGAGAATAAGAGATTCAATAAAAGCATAAAATATCTGAAAAATAATCAAAAGGTTAAGGAAAGGTGGGTCTTAAAAATATCAGTGGAGGGGGGGAAATCTAATGGCGAGTATCAAACTGGGCCAACAATAAACTATGCTGTCACAATTTGAATTTGACTGTGTGCGTGAAATACAGAGTAATTGATCAGCAGAGCTGAGTGGTTGTAGGTGGAACAGAGGATGAGGACTTGCATCATCCTAAGTGCATAAAATCACTTGCATGATATTTATTGTGTACAGCAGCATTTGGAAGTGCTAGGAAACAAAGAGTGGGGAGAAGGAGCTTCCATGTTACTTGTTGATGTTGGAGCTGTGTTGTTTGATGGCAACTCATTAGTATTAGTGTCTATTTAAAGGCCGGGCAGTTAATGTGGAAGTACTGGTAAGTGAATCCTGGTGGTAAGGCTACCATTTGGATCACACTTTGTTCTATAAACTCTGACATCATGTAGACATCAGCGCTTTATACAACAGCCTAGTGTAATGGCTGCAATCGCTTCTTACAGGACGCTGCATCTAAATGTAAAATGGAATTGTTGTCAGGTTTGTAGCAGCCAGGAGACTGTCACTTTCAAGTTTCTCAAACAATTTCTAATCATTTCTTGCGCTATGGTATCAAAGTTTCCCCCCACTGGTCTGTGCAGTAGCCATGCACGAGTGGTACATGCAGTACATCTCAATGTTTGTTAGAGCACACTCCAAGTCTGACATCTTGATGGTGGTTGAAACTGAGCCTTGTCAAACCAGACAAGCTTATTCACTCACTGAACTGAGATACAGAGGTATCATATGCTAAATGTACTTAAAGGATTGTAAATAAATGTTATCATTATGCAGGATGTCCTCTTAAAATTAAAAACCATTATTTGCGACCATCCAAACATGATTTTTTGTTGCTACTCAGCGAGCTCGGGTCTCTTTTGTGAAGCTAACCCCCTTGGCTCCCACGCTGTAGCAGAAAGTTCCTAAACTGTCCATCTTGATTGCAGCTTCAGGTCACAGCCTCCTGCCCTCGTTGTCTGCTCTTGTTCACAGTCCAGGTGAGATGCAGATCATCTTAAATATGTTTTATAGGATTGTATGTCACACATACTGTAATGACAAAAACTTAAACTTCTGTATATTATATGTAAAAGTGAAATATAGATTCTATGATTAAAATATTGAAATTTTGTGACCTCTTGGTCTGAAAATAAACTACAGTGTCAAATATATGTACTGTAGTTAATTAGCACAATAACTGCCACTTAAATGTAGTGGAGTAGTAATATAAAGTGACAAATTTAAAATACTCAAGTACAACTACCACCAGTGGACCTGGGGGCAACTGTGGTTCAGTGGGTAGAGCAGTCATCTCCCAACCGGAGGGCCTCAGGTTTGAATCTCGGTGCTTGCAGTGCACGTGTCGAAGTGTCCTTGGGCAAGATGCTGAATCCCCAAGTTGCCCCCGCTGGTTAGAGCCATCGGTTGAGTTGGCACCGCAGATGGCTGCCTCGGTTCTGTACCAGAAACAAATTCCTTGTGTGTAACATACCTGGCCAAATAAAGGCGATTAAACTACCTACAGCATTTGACTGGTGTTAATAGTCCTTTTTATGTTGGTAGTGCTGCCTCCCACATTGCAGACATAGATGTGACATCATCTACAAGACTAATTTAGCATGCGCCTCCTGGTACTAATATACTTTACACCAATTGTCCACACTATTTTGAAATGCAAAGCAAATGTGATACTGTATATACAGTACACATTTGGAGCCACTGATACTGATGATATGAATACTGTGGTACTGTAATATGAAGCACTGAAGTAATACATTAAAAAGGTAAAACTATGAGAAATACACAACAGCATTTGCGCTAAACATGGGTAATTTTTATTTAGTTAGTGAGTTATCTAGAGGAGAAAACTGCAGTTTGATGTCTAGCTGTTTTGAGGGAACCCCAGTCAAGCTGAGCACAAGAGGGTTCTCCCAAAACTACTATGAGTTGTTGAGGACAGACAGTCTCACTGAACCTGAGGTACGGTAGAGTACATCAATGTCAGAGCAAAGACAATCACCCACAAGGCCCAAGCAGAACACTGCTAGTTCTACCAAGGCAGCAGGTTTCTCCTCATACAAATGCACTTCAGAATGACATTATCACAAGACAGAAGAAAAACAAACATGTGCACTAGCTGGCGCTCGCCTGCCTGCTGCATAATTTAATCTTTTGGTACACAGAAACCGATGCAGAAATGACGGGAACAGGTAGAGGGAGGACACATCTTATGATTGCCATGTGATTGTGGCTGTTTCCCACTTCAATCATCAATCACCCATAGCCTCTGTCTGAGGAGGACCAGATGGATGAATGTAGATTCAAGTACAATATCAATTTATATCAATTCATCTTTAATTCTCTTTAGGAGCTGATGAAGCTCACCAATACTCCAAACATTTGAGTCATTAAAAAGAAATTAGAAACAAGTCCGGTGAAATCTTCGGTCAGTCAGTTAGTTGCTCACAAACAAAATCAAAGAGAAAGAACAACAGTTAAGAGGGTTAAGGGTACTGGTAGAGGCTGCTTAGAAGGACTGAAAATGCTTTAAAGACAGTTTTCAAAAGTAGGTGTAATAGTGAAACAGGAACATAGGGTTTGATGCACCGGTCAAGTGATACAAATGAGTCCATTTACTGTCATGTTCAAGTGTTCAGATACATTGTCATCTTCAGTGGAAAGATTGTGAGAGCCTTTCCTCCTTGTGGTTAGGCAAATTTTTAGTTAAGGTCCTACATCATTAGTGTTGCAGTTCTAGCAGAGCTCGCTCGAAGGTTACTGTTTGTTTCTATTGCGTTCCTGGAAAGAGAAAAAACAGGAGTTGTTTAGAGTTAGAATACCCAAGGCAGAGAGAAAAGAGAGTATTCTTTGTAAGAAAGACAGAGAAAGCCTCAAGTGTGTACTAAGCAAAATGTTCAGCTCTATTTACACTTAAGGAATGAGACTACAGCCACTACAATCAGTCATAATAATTCTGATTTGGCCATGGATAATCACAAGCCTGACACCATGCACACTCAAAAAACATGAGTAATCACAATGCACCTAAAATAAATTATTATTTTTAATTCTAGGGTGTGTCATGGATCACATGAAAAGAGGACTGCTGCTAATCAGCAAATTTCTCACTAAAGCTGTAAAAGTGCAGGTAAAATCCTCAAAAAAAAAAAACAAGGAAGTCAAAATAACCCAGCGTTCTTCGCTGGCTGTCACAGATTAGACTTTCAGGCTGACTCTGTACCATTTTTCAGTGAAAACAGTTTCCTCTTTGAGGAGTAGGTGTCCATGTCAGTGGTCTGAGAAGTGTCCTATGACAGGTCTCTGAGCACAGAAACCTGTGTAAAATTCTGTCTTAACAAAACCTTTTACCTCAGCAAGTCATAACAGTTTAAATTTGATCACATACACCTGAGAATTATAACTAATTCTAATCCTGGCAAAGCAACTGAATGACAGAAACTGAATACCAACTAATCTATTTCTCATAAAATGGGCAGACAAAAAGTGTTTATAGTTTCTTTGTTCAATCTTCTATCTGCTTTTCACATCATAAAACCTGGTGCCAAAATCACTTTTCTAGTGTGATACAACAGTAATGATTACAGCACACTGGCATTCTCCTGAATATGCCATGAATTACAGTATACAAGCTGACTTGTATGTATTACTTGCCAAATTAGTTACACCAATATAATCCTGCAACAACATTTAGATCCAGTGTTATTGTAATAAAAACACTTTGGGAGTGTGTTATAGTACAGGTAGCTGTGGTGATTTGACACTTGTCAACATTGGAGAAGGACAGGCCAAACAATAGTTAACAATTAACCTTGTCAGGTGAAGCAGGGTGAGGCCTCAGCCGGGCCGATCCTGACATGCAGGAGGTCAGGGCTACAAAGCAGCACCGTGCAACATCTGCACAACACAGGACGAAATGAGCTTTCAACTGACAGGTTGTTTTCAGAAGCCTGACAACACTGACTTGAAATATTTATGAGACAGTAACCCAGTGCATATTAACAAGGTTTGCAATGACGAGGCAATACAGTATCAATGGAGCACCAGCAGCGGGGGAGTGGGAGAAACAGAGGGAGTGGGTCTTGAGGGTTGTCTAAATGCAATTAGATTAGCATAGTGGTGAATCTGAGAATGGATGCAGCAGAGTGCTACCAATGACAACATGTTATTCACTCCTTGGCTGCTGTTCTTGCACTGCAGTAGCAACCCACAGAGTTTTTACTACTTAAGACTAACATGTACGGTACACCACCATTATTACCACTGCTACATTTTTTAGGTTCTCCTCCGAGGGTGCAGGCTTCCACAGTGTGGATGCAGACAAATATAATAATTGTGCATTTTATCATGTACTTTGCTAGGAAATGTTCAAATTCAGCTCTTGATAATATACAAGATAAACTGTGCCAACTTGGCACAGGGCAGCCACTTTATAGGCCGAGGGCTTGTATTCAAGGCTAATAAAGCATGAGGAGCCTGTGGAGAGCAGAGAGGCTTGGCATTCAGAGGGAGATCAGAGACTTCGTCTGCCTTTGTCTGAGAAAAGGAATGCCAGGAATGTGGGCTATTTCAGGAAACTTCTATGAATCTATAGTAACTCCATTTGGGCAGATCAACACAATCACGACAGCAAAAGTTTGCTGATGAGGAATCAAGGATTCCTGAACCTGCTGATGAGTAATGGTGGCATGTCAATTTGCTGACAGGCCTCTGGGAACTTCAATTTATGCCAGACCGTTCATTCAGCAACAGGATGTTACAACCTTCAGCTAAGAGCAGGTGAAGCAAGATCAGCTGATTACAGCCTGGCTACAGCACAAAGTACTACTTACTCAGTGGAAATTACCCTCCCTTTGAATTAAAGGGTAACTACAGTGATCTGTGCCATACATACCAGCAAGCTTTTTACAGATGACAGGGCTTTTATGTGTCTTTATCTCACCTTCCTCAGAGCCTCCTCCTCTTCCTGACGTTTCTCATAATGTGCAAAGTCATCAAAGATTGAGGTGGTATGCTTGTAAGTGGTGATAATTTTAAGCACTTGTTTGGCCTTCTCCAGAGGCACTTCTTGAGTGTCCCTGGAGTTGGTCACTGGCTTGTTGTCATTGTTTTCCAGCCGGATGTGTCGCAGCTGGTTGTTGGGCACGTCTTTGATGAAAACCCACTTCACCTCAAACTTGCCCTTCCACTTATCCTGAGACCAGACACCTGCATAGGCATTATAGTCCACTGGCGAGCGCATCTCGGCCACACCACAGAAGTGCCCACTACCGTTGACACTAAACAACAGGTACAGAGGCCCCTTGTTGCCCAGTGAGCGGTAGGCGCCATCCAGGCGCTTGTTGCCATGTTCTGTACTACACCAGATAGAGTACTTGATTGAGCGGTGGATGTCATCTTCTGAATAGCTCTTGATAATGAAAACACGTCCGTTTTTCAAGTTCCAGTCAAAGTCTTTGGGGTTGTAGTTGTTAAGTGCACGGAGTTTCTCCAGCATGGGATGCACTTCACCAGAGCAAGGGGAGGCACTGAGTGGGACTCCCCCACCCAGGCCGAAGCCCTCACCCCGGTTCCTAGGAGCCACCCAACGGTTGGGAGGCGGGCAAGGCTGCTGGGGTTGTTGATGGTGAAGAGGCTGTGGGGGACCGGGTTGAGAGGGGAGATGCAGGTGTGGAGGGCCAGGGGGCAGAGGCTGGGGTTGCTGGGGGGACTGAAGAGACTGGAGCTGAAAGGGCTGGTGTTGGTGCTGAGGCTGGTGTTGAGGCTGAGGGGGCAAAGGGTTCTGCAGTAAGGGCTGGGGCTGAGCTAGGAGAGGCTGCTGCACCAGAGGCTGCGGTGGCATCATAGTCTGAGCTAATGGGGACTTGTTCAGAGAGCCCTTATCATCCCAAGTACCAATGTTCATATTGTGCTTTATGGGGGGTGGGGGAATGGTGGCGCCTCCACCCATCCCCATATTGGCTTTGGGTTTGACCTTGGGCTGTGGCTTGGCCGGTTTCTTGGCAATGGCTGCCCAGGAGGCAGTTTTAGGTCCGGACGAGCTGACAGATGGAGGGAGGTTGTTGGCTACCATACTGCTCATACCTGCAGTGCCTCCTAAGGGTGAGCCCACAGTTTTGGTGACAGCTGCCACCATGTCTGTACCCAGTTTTAACCCTGTCATTCCCTGCTCGATGCTGCTCAGTACCGGCACCTTACTGAGCTGGGTGTCACTTCCAAAGCCTGCTTGTCCATCTGCGATGGCCCGACCCAGTGAACTGGGGGCATACCCATAGCTGTTGCTGTACACTGAGCTCTGTGTTGACTGTCCCTGAGAGACACTGGTACCCCAGGTGGAAAAGTCTGCATTACCAGGGAAGAAATTGAAGCCATGTTGGCTGAGGAAGGGAGGGGTGTTCCCCAGGGCACCTGGCTGGCTGAACACGCCATCAGGGATGAAGTGTGGCTCGCCGTTGCTCATCTGTCCATAGGTAGTTAGGTAGGGCATAGGAGGGTCTCCTGCTGTGGACCAAGCAGCCTCTCCCAGAGAGTAAGGGAAACCAATGGATGGAGCATAGTAGCTGGGCATGTAGGGGTCAGACATTGGAGGATAGCTGCTACTCTGTACAGAAAAGAGGGACATCAGTTAATGCACTGTGCAGAAACAATTAAGAAATCAGCAACATACTGTAGGGAGTTCAATCTAGGAACATCTCAAATCTTTAGAATAAACAAGAAAATCTCAAGCAAACTGGAACAACAGTAGTGATATGGTACATGGCTGACACCTCAAATATTCCATCCATCTGCCAACAGTATGAAGTTACAGGCCAAGTACTGTCCATAAGTACAAACTGTAACACTGAACAGATGACAGTGTGACATACCTGATTTGTCTGGCCGCTTAGGTAAGGCTCAAAATCATCATCATTCACGCCATCCTTTTGATGCATTGATCCGTTTTGCACTAAGGGTGGAAAGAGAGGACATTAAGTCATCACATATGTGATTCCCAACTAGATAAAACTCAAGTTGTCAGCTGAAAACATTTTTTTTCCTGGGTACATAGTAGTTAAATAGAAAACATGACAAGTGTAACGTAACATAACACACAATACATAAAGTTTATTTATATAGCATGTTTCTATATCAAGATTTCTGGCTGAGGAGTTCACTCAGGAAATTAAACTAAACACAATTAAGTCTGCATTAATTAAACTGCAGTTTAGGCTACAGTATCAGTAGATGCCCTGACAGCATGTTGGTTAATTTTAAATAAAACACCTGCACCATTTAAAAATTACTATTAGAAACATACCTTTATTTCCTTGTCCTTTAGGTCTCTGAAATAATGAGAAGCACAGGCGGAGGAGATGAGTCAGTTGTCAAATCAAGACAAACAAACAGAGTGCTGGTTATATCCTACATGAAAACCACAACCAGCAGTGTAATAACGTTGACCTCAGACTGAAGCCATCATCAGCCGCATGTTGCTTCCCGTCACTGACCGGATGTCAAACGCTCTGACATCCAGTAAACGGTGCCGCATTGGCAACCGGCTACAGCTCGACTTCGTCGGCAGTACAGTCGGCCTACATTACAACCAATAGCTATCTCACACCAAAGACTTTTTAGCCCGTTTGAGCCACATGCCAAGCCAGATCCAACTGTTGTCGGCAAAGTTTAATTTCGCCGCACGGCTAATTTAATGCTAGCGCCGTTCAGCTGCTAGTACACGAACCTGATCGACTGTGGTCGCAGACATCCTCCAGGAACCGAAACTGATAGCTGTTTGTGAGACTGTCCACGACTTCCCCCTGTACTTGGGTCCTTTCCTGGCTCGTCTCTCGGGTTGTCCAACCACTCTGTAACCGCTACAAGGCGACGTTTTCCTCCTGGTGTGCGCTCTCGATGGTCCGGTTCTTCTGACTCTTACAAGCCGTAGCTTTGTGTTCGTGGAGGAGGCGAAAATCGACGTGTACGGTCTTGCCACAGATGGTCGTAATCAGTCAATCTGAAACTGACTAGCGTCTAACTGGAATATCCCCTACCATATTCCACAATGGCGGACAGGCGCTTTACTCCCGCTTCCGCTCCGTTCCGCTGCTCCGTGACCTTCCGCCTGTGACGCTCCGAGTCATGTTACACGCACTGACACACGACAGCCACACAGGATCCCTGCCACCTTCATTTTAGTCTGTCCAGTCCAAGTTTAGACTTTTTACTGACATGTTACCCTAATAGGCTAATATCAAAATAATTATCTCTTCACAGGAGACCTGCCCCATGTAGTCTATGGGTGGACGCCTGAATTTGCATATGATTAAAATAAGATAGAAAACCTTCCATAAGCAGCGGTGAAAAGTCACTAATTACATTTACTCAAGTACTGAACCTAAGTACAGTTTTGAGGTATTTGTACTTGGGTACTTCCATTTAGCCTACTTCATATTTTGAATTCAGTACATTTCAGAGGCGCATACTGTGGGCTGTTGTAGGAATTATACTCCATTACATTTATTCAATAACTAGTAACTAATAAAACAAAATACTGTATAATCATAAAACTCTACTGGTTTCCATTGGGACATTCACGACAAGCTACCCAGTATATGTAAAGTTCTTCATATAAGGTAATGAAATTACTGCTTCATGTTTACCAGTTGTATAAATAGTTATAATATAGCCTACTTGTACTTTCATTGGGCCCTATATGAAGTAGCCTACAATGCTTGTGTACTTTTACCTAACTAAAATTTGGAATGTGGGCTTTGACTTTTACTTGTAACTGATTTTTACATTGTAATATTTCTACTTTTACTTAATTAAGTAAAGGAGTCAAGTACTTCTTCCACCACTGACTTGTAGCCTACTTTACCTGAATGTTTTTCATTTGCTAGTTTCTCCTACATTTCACTAATATAAAATATTATACCTTGCTACAGATTAAACATTTTAATAAAATATATGATGAAACTATACTAGAGGCATATGATGCACTATTATGGATAAATTACATAATAGTAAAATACATAGTACAATTAGCTCAACTTCACTAGCTGCAATAAGCTATTGAAATGATCCTTACACATTAAAACATCAGTATTAAAATCTAATAATATTATAGATAATACTCATAGGTGTCATTCTGAATACAGGACACTCATTTGTAAAAAGGTATTTGGGCAATGTTCCACTACTGCCAAAAATGTCAGAATGAAACACTCAAAATGAACTACAATGAAGAAAAACTACATTGAGTAAAGAGTATTTCATTTTGTGTTTACAAATAGATCCATTTGCTATTTTTTGCTTGTGATTGTCATTATGGGTCAGCTAATCACATGTTATTAATTTGTAGAAATTTAATTCAGTTTATTGGCTTTGGGACAAATCATAAATGAGAAAAACAATAGAGCAAAATGTAGCTATAATGCTTGCCAACTCCACAATAAATTCTGCATTTACAGTATTTAAGTATTGTACTCATGTACTGTTTGTACATTGGTGTTTCATTGCAGTTTTACATTTTATTCTACTTTTACTTTTTACTTCTACTTTTCTACTACTTTTACATTCATAGTGAATGACCTAGTCCTAGACAACAGCATACAAACGATATACTGTACACAGGCCTATATTATTAATACATAGCAGTGTGTTTTATTTCTTTTTAAATGCACAAATATGTAAATATGTATAAATAAAATTATAAATTGTGTTTTGATGCTTTAGCAGCATTGTTTAGTGAAACTTTCTTGCCAATAAAGCCCCTTTGAATTTGAATTTGAGAAAGGTTTCATAAGTTCCCATCTCTACTAAAGTTGTGAGAGTCATTTCTGCTACTCTCG